TTTGCAGTGTGACCATGAGGTCACCAGCTGCATGTCCTGCTGTGTTCCTCTGAGTCAGTAACTTCGGACTTTGGCTATTTCTGTATGGTCTTGTGCTAATGAGTTATGTTGTGTCAAAGTGCCTTTCCCTAGGGCTTGCTTCACCTCTGGGACAAAATGTTTGCTTAACAGTTCACAGAACTGTGCTGGTCAGAAAAGAAAGAGAAGAGGGGATGGTTGCCAGTGCTGTGAGTCTGCTTTTGCATGTGCTAATGGAGTAATCTCAGACTTCCGGACCTTCTCAGCTTAGCTCTGGCCACGTGGACACCCGTCTCCAGCTTCCTCTCTCTCTTTCCAGTTTTGGATCCTGCTTGGTGGAGGGAGGGCATCTTCTTGCCCAGCATATCTCAGCTGCACACCACAGTCTCAGGCTGGCTTTCTCTTTCCTCCTTACCTCCTGTCCTTGGGAGCTGCCCAGACCTTCACTGGGAAAGGCTGAGCTTTGGATGTTGTAAGAGCTGCCTCCCACGGGAGCAGGTGATGCCCGAGTTACTCCTGCCTGGACAAGGCCACGCTCTCACAGCAGCTGTTCACTCTATTTACATTACTGTGGCTCTTAGAAACAAGCTTCTTTAACAGAAGAATTTCCATGTGCCTCTTCACCCACTGGGCTCCCTGACACAGCCCTGGATGGCTTGTGCTGATCTCAGCATGAGAGAGAGCTCTTCTGCAGTACTGTGGGTTTATTCTGCACTTGTGTGGACAAAAGGTTTCTGTGGTCTGACAGTTCAGGTGTCAGCTAGAAACCTTTGGTAGCGTTCTGTCAGCTGCATTTGCTGGGATTGCTTTCCCCATTTATGTGCTTTTCAGTTAGAACCTGGGGTCTGTAAAACTGTCAAAAATAAATAGGACTGCCAAGGACTAATGAGTGGCTAAACTAAGAGGCTTATAATGGGTGAAAGGTGAATGTAAAGTATCTTTTACAGTACTCAACTTCACTGAAGGTGATGCAGGTTTCAGCCATGTAAGTTGCAAATTGAGTGATCTGCTGATTGATCTAAGGAGAATACAGAGTGTGTGTGTGTGTGTGTGTGCACTGAGTTTGTTACTCATAAAGGATGGAGGGCCTCATGTTCTCCATTCTCATGCAAGTGTGCAGTGCTTGATGTCAAGTTGCCACAGTCATGTTTGCTTATATCTTACCAGAGCTCTTGGGATAAGCATTCTGAAAACTGAGTGGTTCCCAAACATATTTTTAAAAATTCGAGTATGAAACAAATCTGTAATCAGAATCTGCCATTAATATGGAGGTGTAACAGTCTGGGGTTGCCTTCGTCCAGTGCAAAAGAGATTGTCCTTTTAATATTTAACCATTTGCAGATGGTATGTCAAACACTGCTAAAGGGGTAAGTTACAGTAAATTTCTTTCACTTTTGGTCTTTGGGACATGTACATCTTGGGCTTTTTGAGGTTTGCTGGTGTAGTACTGGCAGCATCCCTGTGCAGTCACACAGCACAGAAACCTGGCTGCCTCCACTGATGAGCCACACGACTCTGTTAGTGGTTGGTGCAAGTTCCTCAGTCCAGAGGTTTTTCATCTCTGTTAATGAATGGGGCACATATTTCACTTCTCTTCAGGTTCTTAAACTTTGGGCAGTGCTTGCTTTATTTTTGGTTTTACATTGCTCACTTCAGTTCCTTTTCTAGCAGTTAACTTCTAAGCTGCCCTTTTGTCTTGCTGGTTTATGGTGCCAAGTATACCCACTGATACTCCTGTAGCACTGGTGGAAGGTCAGTTCTTCAAGCAGCATCTTGAATTAAGTATTTGCATATGGATTATCTTTTGTCACTCTGAGTAACACTGCTGTTAGAAAAGTGAACTGTTTTAGCTCCTAGGTCTGGGATTAACTGCTCTTTGGAGGCCTTTACTTTAAGGGGATCCAGACTCAAAACAGATCATGTTTGAAAAGGGAGAGGGGAGGGCAAGAAAACTTTGCTTGGATTAAATGGCTTACTCAAACTATTTACCCTTTAGGGAGAAACTTTTTTGTACAGAAAAATTGTGTAATGTGGAAAAATTGGTGTGGACATCACAGACAAACATGAAATATTTTTTAATCCTGTAAGTTATAATTAAAGCATTCTTTAATGGCCTAAGTTAAAAATTAAACAGAAGAACAGGTAGGTAGAGTAGCTTTCCTAACATCTTCCTTTGCTGCAGTTTTAAGAAGCTGGATTTCATGACACCAATGAGTAAATATTTCCATTGCTGTTGCTATTATGTTGAAACTGTGGCATCATTCTTGTCTCCATTCACGTTTGCCTTGAGTTCTTTTTGTTACCAGGACTTAACCTTTGCTAGAATCTGATGCATTGTTTTTCCCCATGAGTTCAGTCTCCTCTGGGTAGAGCAGTGGCAGCTGTAGGAATTTCAGCTCCTGTGTAATCCATGGCCATTCAGAGAGCCTTTTCCTGTGTGTGAGGCAGTGTCTGTGGAGACTGTTGGACTTGGCTGTGAGAGAGCCAGGGGAAAGGTGGTGACTCCAAATTGTTCAGGAGAGTTCTTAAAAACTGGCAGGTATGTAGCACCTATTGCAGGGCTTGAGAAGATTAAACCCTTGCCTTCATCTGCTCTGCTGTCCTTGGAGCGCTCAGCACTCACTGTGTTGGCAGAAGCCCCTTGTGTATGGGGCTCTCTTGAGAATGTTGAGATTTGCCTGGGTTTGTTTGTTTTACCTGGATGAAATGTGTCTGGAATAAGCTGTCCTAGCAAGCCTGTGGTTTGGCTGATGTTTACTGAGGCCACTCAAGGAATGTTTAATAGGTGCTGCACACAGTAGACAGAGACATAAGAGTTTGTAGTGGAAAAACAGGGGTAAATTGCATTTAGGATAGAGAAATATGGAAGTGCTAGATGAGCAAGTACAAGAAAATTGGTGTGATGGGATGTTATGTCCTGATTTTTCTGATAACTGAGTTGTGTGGTGAGTAATAGAGGGTTACAAAACAGCTAGGCCCTGTTGCAGTGCTTTTATATTGTTCAGCTGTGCTCTCTATCAGTGGAGGTAGCCAGGTTTCTTTCTATGTTGTAGGTCCAGTGAATTCTGGACAGTTTTCTGTGTGATGGGAATATATTACCCAAGTGATAAATTATATTTTTTGTCCTCTCTACATTTGCACTCCCCTCTCACTCCTCCACAAAAACAAAAAACAGAAAAAGAAACCAAAAACAAACACAAAAAAATCCCAACTGCTGTTTGTGTCTAAGATGAGTAGAGTGAAAAATGCAGAAGAGCTTCTTAAGTCAGACTTTGAATACCTCGTTTTTCAGGTGTCATTCATACTTTCCTTAAAAGTCCAGTTGTTAATGTTTTACGTTTATTTATAGACTCCTTTATTTTGAGCTACACATGCCTATGTGTAATGATTAGGACAGACATAGCTAAGGTAAAACTTGCTATAAGAGTCTGTAAGTCAGGATAATTCTGATAGAGGGGCTGGAAAAAGTCCTTTTCTGAACTTGAGAAAAACACAAACTTGTAAAATACAGGATGAGATGTACATAGTGAGGCTGGAGCAATTTGCATGAAGCATCCCATGTTGTGTATGCTGCTTTTGCCTTCCCCTTGTGTTTCTGGATTCTTCTAACTTCTAATTAATATTTTTAGCTATGTAGTGAAGATAAACAGATTATTACTATGCAGGTGTTACACGCTTGTGTAGTCTCAGATATATCCTTATTGAACACTTTGAGATGCAGGGTTTTTAGTGGGGAAAGGAGTTTTTAAGATGATTAGCTGCTGTGCTGCATTGGTACTGCTTTGTTAACGCAAAGATAAACACTGATTATAGAAGCTGATAGTGGTGGAGTCATACGGAGTGAGGTGTAGCTGTAAATACAGAGCAATTACTTCAGGAGTAAACTGTGTCGTTCTTTATCTAGTCAGAGAATCAAAATTTCTGTGGGTGTTTGTGTTTTGCTGTTCCTTTAAAGGAAGACTGTGTGAGCTTGTGAAGTGTTTCCAGAGTCTGCTCACGTTATTGCACAAGAGTAAGGGCTCCTTTGTACAGTGCTGATGGTGTGGGGTACCTGCACGCACTTGTTGATAACTTGGACTTCAAAGTTTTGTTTTTCAAAAGCCTTTTGCGGTGAGCTGGCTAACTGTGCTTGCCCTAGGCATAGGCAGTGAGAGAGGTTTACCCTTAGGCTAGAGAGTCATGAATTACATATGGGGAGCATGGGATGGGTGAGAATTACCTGTTTATTGCTCTACCTCTAGGGAAGGTAAATGAACAAAGTCTGTTTACACACCGACCATTGCAACTATTACTTGTTTTTCCTTTTGGTGGAAGTGAAAATGTCTTCGGGAATGTGGGGTTGTGAATGGAGGAGGAGTGGAATTTTAGATAGGCATGTGGCCTGAGGGATGTGCCTTAGTGTTTTGCTATTATGTTACAGTCCAGATAACTCTGAATTAATTTCCCTTATTCTTTCAGTTATTTTTGAAGATAATAATGCAGCAGAAAAATGAAAAGCCATAGAAGACCTTGGCTTTGGCAAAGAAGTCAGCTGTTGGCCCAGTCTGGAAAATGGACCACTGTTTCTGGGAAGCGTGGGAAATACTGCTTCAAAAAGCAAGTTTTCCTAACTTAGAAGAAAAGACAGAGTGCCCAGCTATTTGTGAGTTTAAATCACAACAAACTGTACAGAATACTGCAGTGCAGAAGGAAGACACTTGAGCTCCAAAGCAGGTGGGCTCCTGATGTGCTTCTAAATGCAGAAACCTGTCCAAAATTTACTGTTGAATTATACAACTTTCCTTACAAAACTACTGAGAGCAAAAAGATCCTGTCCCTATCACGAAGCTGAAAGCTCGTCTGTAGAAGCAGTAAGGAAACTCAACAATGAATCCTTTCAGAGTGAAGATCCCTTGAATGAAGAATTTGAAACTGTTGCTGTTCTCAATAGCATCTCTGGCCATATCCATTATGTCTCATGTGGCTCGCTGGAAGGTGCTGCCTTGCCTGTAAAGAAAGGTGGTTTTGTATATAGCGTGGAGGAGAGCAATAATGATGAGGGCAACGCAGTCCTGGTAGTTTTAAACAACTATAAAAGGAAATGCTGTTGCAAAGGGAGTGGAATGGAACTTGTGGCCCCTTGACAGCTCTAAAGAGGTCCAAATTTAACCATCATACTGTAAAAAAGAGATTTTTATTTATGATGCATAAGAAACTTTCTATGGTTAGGTTTCGGTATAGAATCATAAAATTCCCAAAACTTCGAGCAAGAGGCAAGACTTGCAAATTAAGAAAAATCAAGCGAAGGTGGGTGCAGAAAGTTACAAGGGACCATCAGGAAACGCTTCAGCGGGATTTTGAAGGTGGATTGTGTAATTTGTTTTCCTCCTGGAAATCTAAAAGTAAGCGTCTTTGGAAGCGGTACAGCTTGTCAGATATGAACAATAATACACCCAAATCTTTAGGAGCGGAGAATGAGATCTGTGCGCCTGAGATCTGCCACACGCAGGATGTGTCCACTGAGCCGTGTTCCGAGGATCCCGAATCCAGAGGGCGTGGTGGCAGTGTGGATGCTGTCCCACCAGAACTGCATGCTAGAGCTTCTCCAGAGGCAGAAACCTTGCACCAGGTGGAGACCAACGGGGCTCTTGCAGAGGATCATTGCTCTGACATTGTCGTCTCTGTGACAGGAAAAGAAATCGCTGTTTCAGATCAAGATGGGTCAGAATCCAAGGAGGTTGTGTGTGTTGATGGATTGACACTGTTGCAATCCTCCTTGCAGGATTCTGATGTCAGTGATAATTTTGCAAATGGACCTTTATCCATGGAGCTGACACAGAATGAGGACAGCTCTAGCCAGATGGAAGTAGAAGGCTCCTTAAACTTGGACATTTTTAGTTCAAAATTGCTAGATCACCCTTACTGTAAAAGTCCTCTGGAGGAGCCTTCACCAGAAAGCACAGGAGTGAAATCAGGAACTCGGAAGGGAGGCAAAAGGAACAGTCAGAAAACTTCCCGGGTGGCTGATGAGCAGCTGGCAACATGGCTTTGTGGTATACCTTTAAATATCTTAGGGCATCTAGGAGTTCCTGGAAACTGCTGCGTGTATTGTGGAGTTTACATATTGTGTTAATTCCTTTATAAAATGGTTTCTTACTCTGAATTGTAAAGGTCACTTAGCATAACATTTGATTAAATGAGGCTGCAAAGAGGAGAGCTGCATGAAGGAGGGACAAATGAATGTTTATCTGTCAAGCTATTTCAAGATTATTTTGTTTTAGAGAATACAATGTAGTTTAATTGGAATCTGCAGGAAATTGTTGATAGAAATTTTAAATGTCTTATCATGTGGAATCAAAAGGTTCAGGTTTTTAACTGGTTGACAATTGTTATTCTTAATTTGGTTTTTGAAAATCCTAGGTATTCTAATGCTTGCTTCTGCCCTTATACTCTCTTCTCTTGCTCACTAAATCACTTAAACTTAGGTTTTAATAGCCAAATACTGTTCATTGTCCCTTAGTTTTCTCTCCAATTGTTCATAGAGTAAGCTTAATAAATCCTATGAGACAATATTTTTTTTAAAAGATTGGTCTTAGCAAAGGTTCAGCAAAAAGTCTTTGGGGTTTTTTGTGCTATGCTGAGCATGCAGTATTCAATAGTCACTCTAAAGACAAGCATGATAAAAATAGTAATTGGTGTCTTATTTATGTGTAGCAGCTTTTACACAGAGTAAGGAGCAGTAAGCTAACACGTTGTGCCATCTTGTATCCTCAGTGTAACTTCAGAGATATTCTGATATCTTCCTTTGGAGAAATTGGCTTTTTAGAGTCCCATATACTGTAAGCTGGTGTCAGTGAGTGTTAAAGGAATTGTGTGAAGTTTGATGTGCTCTGATTTTTCTGCCTACCTGTTTGTCCTTCAATTTTGCAATTGATTTCTCTAAAGCAAAATGTGAAGAAGGACACAGTGAACCTCAAAAGAGGAGTTAGCTCTCCACATCCATATCTGTAAGTTAGTGTGGGATGTGTACCTCTGTGACCGGCTTTATGTGATCCAGCAAGGACCATATGCTGTGTGAGAAATGGAGAGAAACTCTGGTAACCCAGTGAAGAGATCACTTCTGCAATGGAGTTACAAAGTTTGTCCATCAGAAAAAGAGATGTAGTCCTTCTATAACAGGCAAGAGCCAAGGTTGTATCAGGGTGGCAAAGGTCAACGTTTTGTGGTTTGATAGTATAGTACTTCTGAGTTTTCTCAGCTGAAAAGCTGTAAAGAATTGTAGTTGTAGGAGTTCTTGTGTGTTTAGGAGTGTTGTTAATAATTAACTGCACCCTAAAAGATAGCGCTGACCTGGCAGGAGTTCCTGGGGTAGAAACATGAAGGAGGTGCAAGTGTTAGGGCTGCTCTTGGGTTTTGAATTTCTCTGCAGCAGCTGAACTCAGACGTTAATGGGCTGCAATGCTTAGTGCATTCAGAAGTGCTATTAGGTATCAAACAGCCCCATGGTAAATCCTGTTCATGATGGGTATCTGATTTTGCCCCGGGGCTGAACTTTGTATTCTCTTCCTTGAGTTACACCAGCCCAAGTGAGGTCAGTGGTAGCTGGAGGTCTGGAGCTCTGCAGCTCTTAGTTGTAATGACAAGAACAGTCCTTCCTCTGTGCATTAATAAAAAACCTTTAAAAATTTTACATATTAAAACAGAATAAGGTACACTCATAAGACCCGTGCATTGTGTAGCTAGACTTCTAGCCAGAGTGAGGAACATCTTCCCTGTCACAGTGTACTGAGATGTAAGGGATAAAAGTTGTTGGGCAGAAGTGTGGCAGAGTTGCAAGAAGGTTCTTTTCCATGAAGAATGCTTCATTGTGATTTGATCTTGTTCTTCAATCCTTCCTCCCTTCCTTCTCTCGCACATCTTGTTATATCTTCCCTGCTATTCTCAGCTCATTTTGTTTTGGGTTTTTTCTTGGTCTCTCTCCTTTGGTTTTTATTCTTACTGCTGTTTTTCTGGCACTTTTTCTGTCCAGTGTTTCATCTTGCTTTTTCCTATCCTGATCTTGAAAGTTTCCAGGAAATGTTCTTAAAGTCTCAGTAAGCACACAATGCCCTATCCAGTGATGCTCTGCCATCACACCCCAGCCTCAGAAGAGTCCTGGACTTTGGATTAATGCAATTTTCCTGGACTCTGATCTCAGATCCAGCTTTCTGTACACACCAGCTTTCTGTACACAGAACAAACGTTTTCTGCTGCATCTGAAAATTCATTTTCAGAGAGCTGGACAACTTGGTCTTTTTTCTCTTGTTTACTAGCAAGTGTTGAAATCCTGTTCCCCATTCTCTTCCATTCTCGGAGTGGTTTTGGATGCTCTTATGGAATTTTTATCTCCAGTGTTCCAGTCTTGTGTTTGAGAAAGAAAAACATCTATTTCTTAGGTTTTTCAATTCTTCCAGCATTCATCTCTTCATTATTTCCAAGTTAATATGTTTTTCTGGTGTGGTTGCTTAGTGTTTTCCTGGGCAATGACAGGCTGACATGGCTGGCTGTGTCACCTTAGATGCCATCCCTAGGATACAAGGGTACAGGAGTTAAACTTGCTGGGAGTCTGTGTGGCGTCTTTTCCGTTCGCTGTGGTGCGGCAGCGGAACTGAGCAGGCTGCAAACACTGCCAGCTCCAGCTGCCTGCATTTGAGGAGAGTCATTCTGCCTGCCATAAGGACAGGATACTGGCTTTTCAATGAAACCTGTTGCAGGAACTGATGGCTTTTCACGTTGCAGTAAAATGATTTAAAATGCTAATTGAAGCAGGGAAGGGGATGGATTCTTCTCTAGCACTGGTATAATTAGTTTGCTGTAGATATATATGTGTATGGCAAGAAGAGGGGGTGATCTTTTCCTGGGAAGCTGAGTGATCAGATTCATGCATTTTTATTTTTGTCCTTCTTCCCCTACCCCCGCTTTTATTTTATGTTGCCAATTTGAGCTTAGTTCTCTTAAATAGGTACTTGACATGTGTGGTGCTGCATGTTGGTTGGGTGCAGAATGACTGCTGCTTGTACCTATAAGAACTGAAACTTTATTGGATTGGTGAACTCAGAAGCTTTTTATATGTTTGCACTTTAATTTTTCTGGTATATTTAAAGGATTCCTAGATGAAGTTATGAAGAAATATGGCAGTTTAGTACCACTCTGTGAAAAAGATGTCATGGGAAGATTAAAAGAAGTCTTTAATGAAGATTTCTCCCATAGGTGTGTAGCAGTATCACATTGTACACCTGGTAAAGAACAAAAATCACTTGCATTGCTACTGCATGATCTTCATCTAACAACTAGGAGAACAGAATCCATTTGACATGACCTTGACTTGATTTTTCTCTACCTTTTGAATCCTGTTTTAGAAAACCTTTTATCACCAGGGAAATCATGAAGTATCGGGAAAAACATCCAAAAACCTCCACTTGCAATTTCCGGGTCTTCTATAATAAGCACATGCTAGATATGGATGATTTGGCTACACTGGAAGGCCAGAACTGGCTGAATGACCAGGTCAGAGATGTTTGGTGTTCATGTGTTTCCCTAACCTTTTTTAGCCCATTTATATTAGAATACCAGTTGTACGCCTGCTGACATTACAGGTGGGCTACCCTTACTTTACACTTCTCAAGTAAAAGGAGTGGTGGGCAGCTTTTACAGTGACAGGTGCAGTAAGTCTGGAAGCTGGGAGGTGTCACAATTAGACTGTTTCCTTTTGAACAAATGATGTTGGACTATTTTCATAAAATAGTGGCTACTCATATAGGTTTTAGTAACTTTCCCCATCCTAAGTTTGAGCAGATTGCAAGAATGACAAAGTGAAACAGCAAGCTGTGGCCCACAGCCAAAAAAACAGGAAGGTTGCAGAGCCCAGGGATGCACCAGTAGATTTAAATTGAATTAAACTTCATTTAAGATTGAGGCAGACTTCAAGCAGCAAGTTACAGTCTCTCTCCAGGATGACCACTATTAGTTGCAGAGTGCTTGTCCTTCAGACAATGTGGCTCTTAAGTCTCCTCTCCATATTGCTGATTTAAGTGGGTAGGGGCCTATGTTTTATGGCATTTGTGAATTTGGATCTTAAAAAATTGTGATGTATGTATTTAACTATTTACTAACTCTTCCAGATAATTAACATGTATGGTGAACTCGTAATGGATGCGGTCCCTGAAAAGGTGAGGGGGTTTTGTTATTACACAAATGTACCTAATGACAGATGAAGAGGGAGGGTGAAACTTTGCACACTTCAGGTATAGAATCAGGATTCAACTCAACCATGGCCAACAAATTATAGTGGAACGAGTGGTTCCATTATAATTTTTTGCTATGTGCTGCTCAGATTTTCTACCTTTCCTTTTCCCTTTTCAGTGCTGTTGCTCCTGTTTCAGGAACTGACTGTAATAGCCCTGCAGGTGCTCTTTGTGGTAGCCTGATGTCAGTGGTGTACCTGTGGAAGACATGTGCCCTATTTTGGCCCATCCCACTCTCCTAAGTTCCCTGGAGGTTTCTGTTTCCAGCTTATCAGCTTCTAAAGTCCTGTACTCATGCCTTTGCTCAGCAGCCTGGTGTTTCAGCTGAAATTTCTGATGAAGATGGATTTCTGCTGAGATGACAAACCATGAGTGTTAGCATCTGAACCATGCACATGTGCTGCTTGCACTCACCCTCCCGCCCACCTCGTAGCTGTGGGGGCTGTAACAGCTCAAGCTGTGTCAGCTGCCTGCCTGGTGAATGTGAATTTCTGTGGAGCTGCTTGGTTCCTTGGCAGTATTGACTCTGCAGGACTCTGTTTTGTGCGTCCTCCTCAGAATGCTTACAGCTTTGCAACTGCAGTGCCTGGCTGTTGGTGGCAATTGAGAGAAAGAAAGTGAAAAAAGTAATCAAGATAACAACAACCCCCCCCCATTTTGTGACTAAATTTGCAGCAGTGACAATTATAAAAACCCATCTGTTTAGGGACAGAACAGTTTTCAGGTGAGACCACAAAGGAAGAACCAAACAAAGCAATTTTTAGATGAGCTCTGCACAATGTAACTCTTAAAATCTTCAAGCTCTGAAGAAAGCATTGTTGCTTTGATTGGAGGTGATGGTGATTCTTCATTAGTATTCTCCATATTTCCTGAGTGTGCTAGGCTAGGGGTATTGGAGATTGTATCTGTTTGCTTGTGTCTGCTTTTTCTTCCTAGTGCATAATTGAAATCCTCATGGGAGATTTTGTGCTGGTACCTCAGAATGTGGTTTTGAAGTCTGTTGGCATAGCTAATGGCTATTAGACTGTGTTCTCAGATGCTGAATTTTCTAACTTTTTTTTCAAGTAACAGCTCAAGCCTCCTACCACCTCTACACTAGCAGAATTATTAAAAACAGATGTTGCAGATTTCTATTTGTATTAATATGTTAGTATAATTGCAAGAAATGAAGCAGAAGGAATAATAGTGTGAACTTGGAGCTAATTTTTTTTTTTTGCATAAGCCTACATTTTTTTTGTCATAAATGTTGATTTTCACTTTCCAAATTGATCAGTCATACCTTAAAAATACTTCTCAATAGCAGAATATTGTTCATGTCATAAGAGTTAAATGCCAAAGACAATGTTGTTGGACTAAACCTCATAACTGTTTTGATCAATTTTCTTTTTCTGAGTCTCAGCTTCCAGCAACTAAAGCCAGAAGTTGCTCCCTTCTCCACCACCCCTGCTTTTCCAGCCCAGTGTTCTCTTCCTTGATCCCTGTAAAGAACAACAAAAACTAACTCCTTGTCCTGGTGTTTTTCTCCCAAGTCTGTCCCCAACAAAAAAATTAAATATGATATGCCTGGAGATACAAAAATGTAAATATAAATGCTGCAGTGGCTCACATGATATATTATAGGGAAATGAGGCTTATTTTATTAGCTTGCTGAAGAACAGTAAGAGTTGAGGCTTGGCAAAACCTCTGTTTGTCCCTACTGGGGTTCTGCTTCTAAACCTACATTAAATATTGCCTCATTACAAGTTGTTTTGTATAAATTATCCTGGGGGAAGGGGAATGACTGTGCATTAAAATTTCTGTGCTCATTGCTCCTCTCTCTCTCTTTTTAGGTTCATTTCTTTAACAGCTTTTTTCATAGACAGCTCGTAACCAAAGGATATAATGGGGTAAAACGATGGACTAAAAAGGTACCTTTAACATGGTGTCATCAGTGCTGGGCTTCTGCTGGGCTGGGCTCAGCCACTAACTTGAAGCTGGGTTACAGTGTGTTATTTGCAAAGGATGGGTGAGCAAAGGACCTGTAGAAAGTGGGAAGGGCTTGATGAAAATAGTAGTGTGGCACTATTCAAGTTAGTACGGGTATGTTGTACTTGGAATGGCTAAATCTTCAGTGGGAGGTTATCTCTTTGTGTATGTTCATGCAAGTTGTTAATTTAACTGCAAGAAATGTCTCTTACTGCTCCTGACAGTGCCAGGTACACTAATCTACAGGAGAGCAGACTTAATTCTGCTTCTTCCTTTTATCTCAGCCTGGTATTCTTTGACAAAATCAAATTGTTACTCCAAGTAACACATACCAGGTACTAGAAAGCAAAAAAGAGACCCATGGTTAATAAGCCAGACTGTTGTTCTCTTGACAAGAACAGAATTCACCTTGCTTTCCAGAACCCACACCAGATCATGGGTGGGATATTTTCAGGGATAGCTAATGCAAAAAGAAATACTCTCTTTTTTTCTAGGAACATTTGTCCTTTCTAATATGGGAGATGAGGCAAGACTAATCAAAGGCCATGTTTGAATGTATGATCTTTCTGCAGAAGTACTTAAATAGCACACATCTGTGAAATGCTAGAGATGAACTCATTATCCAAATATAAAATCTATTCATATAATTTATTAAAAATCTCTTTAAAGAGAGATGGAATATCGGTGCTTAATATTCCCACATATTATTTTTTAAACGTTCCTTTTCTCCAGCAACCCAAGTTTTGTAAAAACTCCCGAAATTAAGAGAGATTCTGGAAGCAGGATCTGTATTGTTGCTGCTGAGAGGTACCTGATGAGACAGGACAATTTTTAGATATTTACACCTAAATTCCTAAAGAATCTCTCAAGCAAGAATGAGAACTAAGCAGTTTCTATGGGAAGGATTTGCAGACTCCTTCATCATGCAATGTACAATTAAGGGGAATTTGTTTCTGCTCTTGAAACACAGCAGAGTATAGCACCATGTTTTGTAAATGTTCTCTCCTGGGATGCAGGATCTCCTGTGCTGGCTCTGGCTGCAGTGGTTTCAGAGCTCCTGTTAGTGTCCGTCCCTTCTGATCACCCATCACACTGGCACTCCTGATTCACTGCCATGACACAGAGCTGACTCTGCTCTCATGGTGAAGTCAATCTGGGTTGCCACCACTCTTGCTGTACATCAGTTTGTAACTAAAGACAAACTTTTGGCTGCCTGTTTCTGCTCTTCTGCTGCAGGATTGCACACCTGCAGTAATCCCACAACTAGGGCCACATGAGGTCCCTTGAGTTTTGTGTGGCTCTGCTGTTGCTGGATATCACAGAAGATGGAGTTCATTTCTCTTACTCCAGTTTTCCTTTGTGGTCTCAGCTTGCTGCTGGCTGACATCCCTGTGCTTCTCTCCAGGAGTGATGGATTGGTGTGTAGTGAATGTGCTGTAATCCAGTCAGGAAGCAGTTTCTGCAGGTGGGAGCAGGGTCGATGCTTGTCACAATCAAAGGACTGTTGTGAGCCAGGCTCAGCTGATAACTGCTGTGAATGCCCACACCTTTTTGTCTCTTCGACTTCCCATTGTTACTCAAGAAATAGACTTTTCTTTCCTACAAAAGACCTGCCCTTGCCAGTAGTGTTGCAATTATGTACTGTTCAAATTGCACAGTGCTTAAAAAAACAGGAAAAAAGCTTAGAAATCTTCCCACAGGATGAGTTCATTTAGTTCAGGATTCTATTTTTGCTTATTTTCTGGACTGTGCCACCAAAACCCCAGTAATTAGACACTTCTTTCAAGAGGAGCTAGGAGAAGGAAGACCATGAAAGGCCCTGGCTTGGCTGGCTTCCAAAAGCATAAGGGCTCATCTGCCATACAGACATGGGGGGTGTTGCATCTGATCTACTTGTTCTGTACTTCAAGACCTTTTCCCTTGTTTGCTTGCCTGTGACCACAGTACATCTGCTACAAAGCTAGCTTTGAGAAAGGATGAATCTGCTCTACCTTCATGCCCTCCTTTCCTCTGTTCACCAAAGCATCCTGCACTCCTCTGCTTTCCTCTGGCAAGTCCCAGAGCCTGTGTTAGAGCAGAAGGGGTCAGACTACAAACTTGCTGGTTTTGTGGGGTGTTTGTAATTACAGTCTCTTAATAGAATCATAGAATGGTTTGGGTTGGAAGAGACCTTGCAGATCATCCAGTTCTGCCCCTCTGCCATGGGCAGGGACACCTTCCACTATCCCAGGTTGCTCCAAGCCCCATTCAGCCCCTGCCCCACTTCCAGGGGTAGGGCAGCCACAGCTTCTCTGAGCAACCTGTGCCCATGTCTCACCACCCTCACAGGGAGGAATTTCTTTCTTTCATCTAATCTAAACCTGTCCTCTGTCAGTTTAAAGCCATTCCCTCTTGTCCTGTCACTCCATGCCCTTGTCCAAAGTCCATCTCCAGCTTTGTTGTAGTCCTTTATGTACTAAAAGGTGCTATAAAGTCTCTATGCAGCCTTCTCTTCTCCAGACTGGACAGCTCAAACTCCCTCAGTCTGTCTTCATAGCAAAGGTACTCCAGGCTTCTGAACATCTTTTTGGCTTCATCTGGACCTTATCCAACAGGTCCAGGTCCACCTCCTTCTTATGTATGGGGCCTCAGAGCTGGACACAGCACTTCAGGTGTGGTGTCCTGTGAGAGCAGTAGAAGGGCACAATCTCCTCCCTGACCTGCTGGCCCCACTGCCTGTGATGCAGCCCAGCGTGCAGTTGGCTTTCTGGGCTGTGAATGGGCTGTGAATGCTCATTGCTACCTTGTGTTGAGCTTCTCATCAACAGCTCCAAAGTCTGTCACTTACTCGTTTCTATCAGCAGCTCCGATAGAAATGAGTGGTGCTCACGCTGGACAAGTGTCATTACTGAAGAGATGAAGAGCTAACCTAAACTGAGGCTCAGTTGTATTGCCATCATTACCTAAGAAATCGCACTTCAACACAGATGTTGCAGTGCAGCATGAGCAGGATTTTGTCACAAATACAGTAGTGATTAATTCTGATACTGTACAAGGTTCCTCAGCCACTTTCTGGACTGTAACTGTATTTTTGTGCCTGCTAACAAGTTGTGTATTAGGTAAACATGAAGAATGTGGTGAAAGGGTGGAGGGGGCAAAAGAAGATTTCAGTTATGGAGTGGCAGAAAGGAAACTTGGATACAATTAATCACTGGCTATGCTGTATTCTGCCTGTGGAACTCTCTGTAATATAGGTTGTTCTTTTTGCCAGGTGGACTTGTTTAAGAAGACTCTCTTGTTAATTCCTATTCACCTGGAAGTCCACTGGTCCCTCATTACTGTGAACATCCCCAGTCGAATTATTTCATTTTACGATTCCCAAGGCATTCATTTTAAGTTTTGTGTAGAGGTAAGAGTGACAGCTGTGTCTGCAAAGTCTGAACTATTTTCTTAAAGGGAACACTCCTCCTTTGTTTCTGTTCAGCCATAAACTTTAAATGTGGTATGTCTGTCATTGTCTTGCTGTGTATGAAATGAGAATCAGCCTGTCCTGCTGAGGAGTCTGAAGCACAGAGCTCGAGGGTCACACCAGAGCTGGGAGCTGAGGTCAGACTGCCTATTGCCCAATTAGCCTGACCGTGTAATCAGCACAGCTTTGGTGACTCTCACTTGGCACTCCCACAAAAAGCAGGAGCTCAAAGCCCAGTGCCAAGGGGAAGCAGAAGAACCCCAAGGAGAGTGAGGGCACTTCTTTCATCTGTTAAGGGGCTTGTGTTTAGGATAAATGATAAATTGTGCTCCTTTAGGGGATAGGTTGCCTGGGTGAGAGCACAGGACTGAAGATGCTGTTGTGTTGCCTTTTTCCTTGTCCTGCATTGAAACAGAGTGTTTGCCTCTGGTTAGAACCCAGCAACCTTTCAGGGCTGCAACCTGAACACTGGAGTTAAATTATCCGTCTTCCTGATAAAGAACAGCCAGGAAATTTTTGCTGGGCTTAGCAAATTGTAATGACCCTCTTACAAAAGCTAATTTTGTCAGCTTAATTGCTTGCTTGATGCAGCAGCCCTCTACTTTTAACTGTGTGTAGTTGTTGGCTTACTGAAGAGTAGTAATTATTGTACCCAGGAGAGTTCCCAGCCAGGACTTCTGAATGAAGATAGTATGCCTGCTGGCATTTGCTGAGGATGAAGCTAATGTTTGTCCTGGGAGCAAGAGATCTTATGCTCTCTAGCTTGTGAACGTGCAGCAGGAACCAGCCATCAGCCCTTCGGTCTCTCCTGCAGCCTTGCAACCTGATCTCTCCCATCCCATTCCAGGCAAGGCATTTGCACCTGAATGTCTCACAGACATGAGGAAATTTTATTTCTGCCTGTTCTAGGGGTAGGAGGGCAGCAATACCCCAAAATTCACTGTGATTCACACACTAAGGTGAATATTTGTGTGCTGCAGTGTTTAAATTGTGCTGTAAATTCCCAGCCTGTTTACAGAGAAGTAGGATTTGTTTAACCCAAGACCATAGTCTCATTTATCTTGCTTCCTTCTCTTTGCTTGTGTCAGCCTATTTTTTTCCCCTGTATGTCACTAAAACTCTCCCTGGAGCTTTGTTGATTAGCTGCAGAACTGGAGCATTTTGTATTGAGATTCCAGCAGGAACATGCGGCCGTATTGAACGTAAGGACCTTGGTGTCAGCCAGAAGAGAACACATGCCAGGCTGCTCTGTTTTTCTCTGCATGTCTGGGAGCACTCTGACCTTGTGCCTGGGTGCCACAGTAGTCTGGAATGAAGTAGAGCAGTGTACAGTGTGGCTGAGGAGTGTTAGAGCTCCCCTTGATAGACTAAAATGAGTCTTGATGGTAGAAGGCACAGTACCCACCAGAGTTCATTTCTTTACTTCTAGATTTTAGCTCATCTCCTAATGCTCACCTGAAAATTGTCCTGTTGTCAAAAGGATGCTAACCAAGCAGTCAGTGTTTCTCTCCTGTTCTTTAGTGGGTGAATAATGTTGCTTTTTTTTCCTTCTTTAAAGAACATTCGAAAGTATTTGCTGACTGAAGCAAAAGAGAAGAATCGCCCCGAGTTCCTTCAGGGTTGGCAGACTGCTGTGACAAAGGTAAATGACAGCACTTTGAGCCCTGGGGTCTGACTTTGTGGGAGATTTCATGGAGCTGCTTCTAAATTCATGTATTTGTACAAGTACTAAATGGGTTTATGCTGCCCACAGGGAGGGTACTGGGAGAGATGCAGGTAGTTACACATTGGAATTCCAGCTCTGTTGGTCATTCAACTCCCACCAGGGCTTCAGCACTTTGTGCAAGTGGCTTGGTGATCTGAACAATTAAATGTGTGCACAGCAAACCTGCACCTGGTGTCCATATTGACACAAGGTCAAGGACTGACTGAGCTGGACACTCAGCTGCCTCCCTTCTCCTGAAAGGGCTATTCTGAATGGATGGGCTTTGGTGAGGGAGGGAACAGGCTGATGTTGCTGATATTTTATGTTTGCTATGGATAGAGGGCTTTGGTCTCCAGGGCTGTTTGTGGCACATTGCGTTTGATCACAAGTAAACAAAGTCTGGCAACAATAAAAGGGAATAACTTGTGTGTAGTGTAAATGAGGGAATATGTAATTTGCGTAGCCATCCCATAATGGCTCCAAAGATATAAAACAGGTCATTGCACACTAGACATATTTCCAACAGCTCCCTCCTTGCACAGATTTATTTTTAGATGCTGATACAATGATAAAATGATTCTTCTCTGCACTCATGCACAACCTGTGCAGTCAGTTCATCCTCCTGCGTTCTGTGAGGCAGAAGATCTGGGAGCTGAGAAAAAACAATTACTTTGCCTTTTCAAGTGCCAGAGACATAATAGCACTAGTGATTGGGACTTTTTAGCTCTGCATATCAAAATTGAGCGTGTTTGAGGAAATAATGAAGGTTGAAAGTTATCATTTGAGACTGCCTTGCTCAGTCCTGTTGCCTAGTGATGAACCATTTGTCATGCTCTCTGAAACCCTTTGGTGTGGCTGGGGGAGGAAAGCCACTGCTGGTAGCATGGATGCTGAGAGTAAGCTTCCTCTAGGCCTGTGTGACTTTGCTGATATAGTTTTGTCCTGTGTAAAGTAGATAATGCTGTACAAACATTTATTTAAACTAATTGAGAAGCTGTTCTGTGTAGGTCACTAAAAGAAAATAAACTTGAAAGAAAGACTGTAATTTATTTTCTGTCCTATACTATATATTTTTCTAACTATTAGGTGTTATTCTAACAAGGTGTTGAGTGTCACCTTGCAAAGTTTGGGATGAGAACAAGTAATTACAACTCCAGTTTCTGGTGCTGCAAAGCAGCTATCTCTGAGCATGAGACAGCTGATCCTTATGCTGAATCTGCTTTTGGATATTAAGCAGGAGTTAGAGAATGAAAGGATCTTACTAAGTAAAAGGATAAGGACCTGACATGTCTCTGGTTGTTTCTTTTCCTTTCAGTGCATTCCACAACAGAAAAATGACAGTGACTGTGGGGTTTTTGTGCTCCAGGTAAGAGTATTCCTATGTAAAAATCAGTGGCCTATGTTGTTCATGTAGCCCTTTTTTTCAACCAAGCCTTTTCCTTTTCCCCAGTACTGCAAGTGCCTCGCCTTAGACCAGCCTTTTCAGTTCTCCCAGGAAGATATGCCCCGAGTGAGAAAAAGGATTTACAAGGAGCTGTGTGAACGCCAGCTAATAGACTAATAAAATGCAGCCAACCTAATTTCTCTGGCATTTCTGACAAGTTGCAGCTGGTGTTTGTGTACTTGAATTTCTGAAAATTTCCATGAATTTGAGCGATTCTCAGCTGAGTGGTGTGGCCACTGTTGTTACCTCAATCTTTTGCAAAGTTCTTTAACTGGCAGAACATAACAGAGCTGCCATAGAGGATTCCTAATGTCAGTTTGGTTCTCTTATGTTCTTTCCTGTATTTAATATTTATTATTTCAGCATGCATATAGGCAAAGCATGCAACTAAACCCATGAAACAGTAGATTTGGGGCACCTTTGAGGTGTAGCTAGAAATGACAAATACAGGTGAATTTGTCTGGAAAAATAAAGATGCATGATATGTTTTCTGATGCAATAATGCTTTGAATGTATCAAAAAAAAATCAATGCCATAAAAAGAACAGCTAGAATGTATTTGATAGTTCCATTGTCCCTGTTGTGGCTGTGTAATACTGGATACCACATTTTAGGGTGGCTAAACTCATCTACAGCTTTAATTTGTGAAGACCCCTTTTTCAAATAGTCCAAGTTGCTAATAAAGTTTGTTCTGTTAGCATTTCTCTGGCTGTCATTATCAGCCTGTCCCTATAGACAAAAAGCAGTCTTTGCACAAATAAAGCTTCAGGACTTGTCTGTGTAAGAGAAACTACAGAAGTGTTCAGTCAGTCAGATAGGTGGTAAGTTCCAAGATGCTGCAGAAGTCTCCATGATGTGTGTATTAAAGAGAACTATAAAGCTAGCCTTGAAGAGTCACAGCCTAGATAGTAAGATAAACTCCTTGACAGTAACTGTTTACATCTCAGATGGCTTTGAGTCATTTCTCAGATCCACGATATGCAGTGAAAATGTACCATTTCTCCCTTCAGCTCTGTCTTCAAAGCTTGTTGTCTTTAACCTCCCATTGGCTTTTGCTTTTGTTCAAATGTAAATTAATTCATTTCTGCTGCATCTGCTGTTTGATTGTCTCGAACATCCCTGGTTTTGTCTGTGTCCAGTAGCGCCGATGGGTCTGGCTGGGAGTTGCAGCACTTGTGGTGGGTGCAGTGCAAACACAGCAGTGTCACCCTGCTCCAGAGGGGTGGGAGCCCACGAGCCCAGCCCTGAACTTTGCAGGGTTGCTGTGCTGGGCAGAGGGTGGGTGAGAGCAGTGGGTCTGCTGGGCTTTCACCTTGGGCTGTAAACTGTGATGTGCTCCTTGCTGAAGAGAGCTACTTCTGCTTGAAGAGATTGTTGTCTGGCACTGCTACACCAGCAAATGTCTTTGCTGTGTTTTTCTGCCAGATACAGGAATGAGCCCAGAGGAAAAGTATTTTCATTGCTAAGCATCATCTGCTGCACAGCTTCACTTTGTGTCCATCCATAGCCCTGGCTTCTGATGGAGGAAAACCACTTTGACTTCCCTGTCTTGCAAATTAATTCAGACTTGAGTTAAGCCAGGTGCAAATCCCTCCTAGATGACGGGAGGGAGAAGGGAGGGGGTGCCAAGCACAGTCAGGCCAGGAAGTGGAAGCACGTGCACACTGCTGTGCTGGAGAAGGAGTTCCTGCAGTGTTCTTGCGTGTTCCCACTTCCCCTTGTTGGCAGCTGGCAAGGACTGGCTTAATTTAGCAAGATAAGGAAAGCCTTAAGCACTTGGTTAGATAATTTAAATGAGGAACTTAATGAATCAGAAAGAACCTAAAACCCAGACAGGCAAGATATATCTGCCCACTGTATAGTGCAAAGCACCCCACAGCACATGGTTTGTGTTTCCCTGAGGTGTAACTGGAAGGACAGCAGCACCTTCTTGAGGTGAGTGCTTGTGAGCAGTGGAGGGTGACTTCCATGAAAATGGACCTTGGGATGTAGTTCCTCCTGTGGGGTAGCACATACAAGCCAGTGCTGCCATTCTCATCTCTGTGCACTGCTGTCACAAGAATGGTTCCAATGCTTGTGTGGTGGGACAACTGATCCAGGCCACAGCTAACCCAGAGGACAGTTCGTACCTCAGTAAAACCTGCTACTAATTGTGCATCCCAGTATGAAGGAATACACGGAATTGGGTGGCCAGGAAGAGGTGTAGTGCCACTCTGGGTGCATGAAATGGAGGCTTTATTTTGAAGAATGGAGGTAGTGCCACTCTGGGTGCATGAAAGTGAGGCTTTATTTTGAAGACTCCTGGCAGAAAGGGAGTGGAACAAAAAGAACTGCATGAGCAAATTGCTTTTATTTTCAGAACTTGAGCAATTTGGTAAGGAAGCTTGAAAGCTGTCCTGTGAGACTATCAGCCTGGGCGGCTCAATGCCTCACAAAAGACCCTTCTTTTTTTTTGCAAGTTGCCTTGTTGATGGATTTATTTCATTGCATGGGAATGTGCTGGAACGTTGCACTACAGACAGTTGTTTCCTAAGGCTTGGTGCCTACTACTGGTTGGTAGGCATCCATCTTGCTCTGTATGAGAGATGGTGAGGAGCCTTTAATCACGATCCCTTATCAGCACCATCAGCCAGAGCCCAGGATTTCTGTGAGCTGTGTGTTGAACGTGGGTGCTTTGAAGCAAGTGCATGTGTGTCCCAGATCATTGGAGGGGAGGGGGCTTGCATTTGAATTTGCTGCCTTGTGAACTGGGGAACAGGGTGGGGAAACATGCATGTTGGAAAGTACTTCTTATGTGCTTTCTTGTCATCTAGAGGTTTCCTGACAAGTGTTCCAGTTGGTTATGGGGCAGCACAGAGGAGTTGCACTTGAGTCTCCAGCTGTGAACACACCAGTGAGGGGCCTCTGAAAAAAAAAAAAGGAGGGGAAATTGAAAACAGATCTAATGTAAGCAAAGTATGTTGGTGCAGTGTTGAAATTAATCACAGGCAGTCGGAATCTCAGGCTCTGTAATGGTGTATCCTGTGAAACTGGACTAATTAACTCCTCCTTGAGAATGTCTTTGATGCCTTAAAGGAGATGGACTTCATAATCTGTAGTCATTTTACTAGTTCTTAAAACATTCAGAACTATGTAGAGTGTTTTTATTTTGAGAGGCACATTTATGTGGATGTAGTTATGGCTGTTAACAATTCCATTAATGTGATCTTCAGATTTTCATAAATCACTCTGAACTGGTTTGGCAGATGCTTAAATTTCACGACTTGTTCCAAAGAGATTGTCTCGCTGTGCTGATTTATACAAATAGTCCCAGAACTGGTGAAGCCTCTGCCTCGTGCGTGACAAATTTCAGCTACCTGAGTTGTAATAAACCTTAAACAGAATTGAAAATGAATTATCAGTTTCCATTTTGTTTGCTTTAATCTATAGTTTTAAATGACTGTGCCCCTGATGCAAATCAATAAATGCAGAGTGTGGCCTTGATTCTGCAAGGTGAGTAGAGAGATGCCTATTGCTGAGCTGCTGGCACTTGCAGAATGCAGGCTGGACCTTTGTGCTGTCTAATATGCAGTTGTTCTGTTCTTACCTGTCTCTCTTGAGTGTGAAGGTGATATTTTGAATGTTTCACATGCACTGATCACCGAGCCAGACAGGCTTGCACAGAGCTGCTGGCTTGTGTTGCATCTCCAGCATAATGCTTAACCTGCCTTTACTTTCTCAGACTTTTGATTGGCGTTATCTACTGTAGCATTTACTCAATTCAACGGGAAAATTTAAACCTTGCAAAGTGCTGCAGAGTTAACTCCACTGAGCAACGACTGTGCACTGTGGGTGTGCTCTTGCATTGAATGAAGCCCATGTTCCTGTGCAGTAATAAAATTGAGTTTTACCATAAACCCTATTTTCTTTCAGTGGTTTGGTTTCATTTTAATTTTAAAAGCAACCGATGTGATGTTTGAGGGAATGTTTGTAGCAGCTTGTTTGGGGATGTGTTATTAGGAGAAGCCTCTCCAGTTGATTAGTTCAGTAACTCTGAGCTGAACACTAATGATGCTCTCTGTCTCACAGTGATGTAACTTACTGTGGTTTAAGTTCTGACAACATACAAGATTGGAGATGTCACCCATTGCATAAATAAGGGTGGGAATCTTGCATTAGACACTTTCTTCTAAGGTGGCATTTAAAAAACACAAATCTGTCAACAGTGCACGTAGGACTTAAATTGCTTTTCTAGATCAAACTACACTAATGCCCTTCTTGTATTGCTTGTGGATTTAGCTGTGTAACTATAGAGTTAAATCTTGTCTTTGCTGCATGTTACAAAGCTATACAGCTTGTGAATTTGTGATAATGGTGAGAATGAAGGCTTAGCAAATGTCTCTTTAAGCTATTAATCATGAGACTGGCAACATCATTGTCTTTATTACATTCATAATTTAAAAATCCTATCTTGGAGGAGGAAACATGGATGCTTGTTAAATATATTCTTCAGTGGAAAGTACTAAGAAATCAGATCATTAAAGTACAGAATCATAAGAGACACTAGAGCCTTGCCAGGAACAATAATTACTATTTATATGTAATAGGCACTGGGAGGGAAAAAGATGAGTCTGGTTTGCTTATGCCTGAACTTAATGGGTTTTATGAGTAACCAGCTAGAAGGATTTGGGGATTGAATTTCATTTCAGAGTATGTAATATTACAAACTACAGAGCTAAAAACTGTTGTAAACGGAGTGAAATATCTTGAGAAATCAACTGGTTTGTTTTCTCTCAATACAAGGAAGCAGAACATGTGTGAAGCAGCTCCAGCTCCTGCCTGAAATTCTGGTGATTCTTCATTCTTGGGTTTAATTTCAGCATTGCTGGTAACTCATCTCCCCTAACCTGGCACTTCAGAGTTCCAAACCTTACCTGAGCACTAAGGTTACCTGGGGCTTTTTACAGGCAACTTTGGGAAGTGGTTGAGAGGAGGAGGGGTCAAAAATCCATTGGGGAATCTGTTTGCACCACCTTGTGATAAATGTTTTGTGGGAGGAAGGGCAGGGGAGAAACTAAGCTTTAAGACAGATGTATTTTACTGGATAATGTGGGTCAGGTCATGTTTATGGTATGTATAGAGCTTGATGCAGACAAGGAGCCATCTTGTTTATGGAAACCTTTGGAGATGAGTGGGGGAGAAATGCAGGGAAGAGATGCCTTCTGCAGGGATCATTGCTCTGCACAAATGGACACTCTGTCTTGCTTCAAGCCTGTGCATTTTCCATCAACTTAATGCAGGCAGCAACTGCAGCAAAGGAAGAAATTCCCTCTGCAGTGTTCAGCTGAACATCACGTTTCTTGAGGGCAGTTGGGGCTTGACAGCTCCTCCTCAGCATCTCTTGGCAGCTCCAGCCCATTGAAGAGCTGGCAGGCATTGCTGCTCCAGGCAAATCCAGGGCTGCTCCAAGGGAGGATGCTCACAAATCCAATCAATTCCAGCTCACCTTTCAGGTCTGGCTTCTTCAGGGTTTCAGGTTTGGGGGGTTGCTGGTTTTTGTTTTGTTTTAAAGAAGTCTGAAGTACAGAGAGTTTTAGGGTAATTTTTCAATTAGTATGTTCCCTTTTCATTCAGGAAACTTGGCTCAGGAGATCTGCTCTCAGTTTTGCATACTGAAATGCTTCTGTTTCACTATTAATGGGCAGAAAAAAGTCTTCAGGGCCAAATTTTTGGCAGAGTTTTGGGTTTTGTTCTCTGGTGAATGGATCTTCAGGTCAATGGTTTTTTCCCTTTAGAACATGAATATAGCTAAAATATTCTCAAGTCATGAAATGTAATGCCTTGTATTAATGACCACTTAAGATTCTTGTAAGCAATTGGTTGTCCCCAGATGGGATGTCCTAGTCTTTAGAAGGGACTGGGAAGTATTTTGAGGGGATCAGTGCTCTTTAGAAAACAGAGCATAAAGGTCCAGCTCCCAAATTCACTCTCTGATCATTTTACCTGAACGAACATCAGAAACAGAGCATTTAAGTTCTGGTGCAGTTCTTAGAAGGGCTGTAGCTCATGGCCTTTCCTGGGGCTGTGGGGTTCCCTGGGTGCAGCCTGAGTCA